AGAAGTCAGAAGGTCTGCAGGTCTGTGCTAAACTGGGGAGCTCAGAGCCTGTGTCAACAATGGCCAGTAGGGAGTAGCCATATTGCCGATGCTCCCCACCCATTCAGACCATGCCAGTCTTCCCACTTCCCACATCGGGTCCGGTTCGGGAAGCAGCCTCTGGTGGTAAGGTAGTGTTTTAGTTATCTAGTGGCACTATAACCGAAATACCACAAGCCTGTAGCTTAAAGACAAAAAATTTATTTTCTCACAGTTTAGGAGGTTAGAAGTCCAAATTCAAGGCATGCACTCAAGGGAAAGGCTTTCTCTCTCTGTCAGCTCTAGGGGAAGTTCCTTGTCTCTTTTCAGCTTCTGTTCCTCAGTTCCCTGGCAATCTTCGTGTGGAGTGGCATCTATCTTTCCCCATCTGTGCTTGCTTGCTTCTGTACTTAATCTGCTCTTTTACATCTCAGAAATGATTGGGTTAAAACACACTCTATACTTACATATGGAGTCCTGGTGGCATAGTGGTTAAGATTCGGCTGCTAACCAAAAGGTTGGCAGTTTGAAACCACCAGCTGCTCCTTGGAAATCCTATGGGGCAGTTCTACTCTGTCCTGTAGGGTCGCTATGAGTCCGAATCAATTTGATGGCGATCGGTTTGGTTTTTTTGGTGGTTTACACTTATATAGCCTCACTAACATAGCAAAGAAACCCCTATTCCATGATGGGATATGGGTTAGGATTTATACCACTTCTTTTGGGGGGACACAAATCCGTAACAGGTGGATTCCTGAGTAGATTTGTCTACAGGGAGGTCATGCACCAATCCACACACACAAGTGCCTGGTCCTCTCAATAGTTATAGTTCTCATTCTATATTAAGGGTTTGTCATTCTGAATTTTGTATATTCTGGAAAAAGTAACTAGAGTCAACTGAGAAAACAAAAATGATAAATGATTGCTTAAAAGCGCTACGATAAAATAATGACATTTTAAATAGGCAGAACAGATACTGGTACATTAGTATTCATCCATTCAGTCATTAATTTAGTCAAAAAACAATTATTAAGATCCTGTGATGTCTGTGTATATTCTCAAAAACAACAACAAAATAAATATAGCTATATATTTAAAAAAGAGAGCGAGAGAGATCCTGTGATATACTAGGCATCATGAGTAAGACAATCCAAGGAGACTGGATTTTTTTTTCTTTTTTTTTTCTTTGTGTGTGTGTCTTAAAACAACAGTGGTGTATTTTGTTTCATTCTGTGGGGTGGTTGGGAGGCCTTTGCTGGTCTCACCTGGGCTACCACATTCAGCTGGTGGGAAGGCTAGGACTCGGCTCTAGGGGGATTTGAAAGATTCCTATCCTTCTTAAATTTTGACTATTTTTGGTTTTGATTTCTCCTGTGATAATCTCATTTTTCTGAAGCCCTATGAGGGCATTTGATCATAGTTTGTGTTAACTCTCCATCTTAATATCTTTTAGGAATATCATGATTCATGAAGGCAGCTGGGGAATCTCTCATACACATGTGCCAACAGAATCTAGACCATGGCACATAGCCCTGAT